TGGGATGGGATGGGGTGGGGTGGGGTGGGGTGGGATGTACTGGGTCCAGCAGGACTGTTGCGCCTCCTCTCAATTTTCCCCCAAATTGCAACACCTTGTGTCCTCCTGGACTTAGGGACAAAAGAAGCACTTTTAGAGGAGGAATAACATTTCCTCACTGAGGCAGTGGGTCTGCTCTTCTTCACTCCTTCAGTGATATCGGGGACAAGGGAGGCACCAGCGGGGTGGGGGATCTGCCCACAATGGGACACTGCAATCCTGCCAGCATCTCAGTAGGATCATTTTATGGTTTCTCCATCTTGCTGCCCATGCCAATGTTTTGGTCTGCTCTGCAGGACACTTGATATTGTTTGTAATTAATCACTGCCCATCTGTCTTGTGGTGAGGTTTGGAGGCTGCACCCAGGTGACACTGAGGCCAAAGGGGGGGCCTTTACTCTGTTTTACTCCCTGTGACCTCAGTTTCTTGCTGTAGACGCACAGCCCCTCAGCTGCAGGTACTGCAAGTCAGGGAGGTTTAGAAAATGGAAAATAAAATGACATAAAGAGGTCAAAGCTAGCATGCTCAGAAAACTTTCTACAGTGCCTTCCCTTCTCACATAAGACCTCTGTGTGAAATGTTTGGTGGCAAGCCCTGCCCCGCTCACCATGCCCATGTGTGCCCATGCACAGGTCCACACAAGGTGGAGAGTATTTTTTGTCTATCTCTGAATTGGTAGTGATGGGTATTTAATGAAACGGGAACTACTGACTCAGGTATTCCTGTTCAAGCCCTCACCCATCTCCTGGCCTTGTCCTGCTCCACTATCTCAGCAGGCTCTGGCGTGGACACAGTCAAAGCTATTTGCCAGCTGCTGTGGTGGGCAGCTGGACTCCTCCCTGACAGCAGTTTGTGTTCAGCACTTTTTTGCTCCCTCCCAGGGCCTATGACACACATGAGCTCTGCTCTGAACTTCTCCAATGGTTTTATACCCTCAGAACAAACCATCTTCTGATTCTCCTTCTGGTTCAGCCAGCAAAGGCCCCCAGAGCTCCTGGGAGCAAGACAGTACTCAGGAGCAGGACCTCCACCTCCTCTCAAGCAGTGGTACTGTTTCCCCCTCTCTCTTCAAAACGCCTAGGTGACATCTGTATTAACGAAGGAAATATGCCCCTGGCACTGAGGTGGACTGGCACAGAACAGCCATGTCTATCGAGCTCTCTCATCCTTCAAAATATGGTGACCGTGTGTAACCTGTGTATCAGGAACGGTCTCTGCCACATCTTGACTCCTGGGTCATACCAGGAATTGTCAGGAGAGTGCTAGTGGCCAGGGGCTGCTCTAACAACGTGGCTACGGCGAAGATCAAGTGCCAGTGCCTAGGAATGTACCTGGCACTTTAACTTTTCCAGTCTGGACTAGTCTGAAGACTGTCTGTCTTTAGAGCCAGTCTGTACCAGTGGGCTAACCCTGCTAGCAGGCCATTTAGTTCCAGTACTGAACTTCTGCCTCTCATCCCTCCTCTTTAGCTTCACACCCTCCTTCTCTCAGCAATGCTGCTTTCCACACATCTCCTCTCCTTCGCTGTGGAAACATCACCACACTGATGTCTCATGTTCCAGCTGTCCTTCTCTTTGGTCCATCTATAGTATTTGCTTCCTAACATCTACAGTGCCCCCACACTGAGGTCCAGTTGAGGGTCTTGGACTCTTTACCCCATGCCAGTGTCCTTACTGGACCAGTGCAGGAGAAGTTGTTCCTCCAGCACAAAACTATTGTAAAAATATTAAAGAGTTGCTTCCTTCTTTTCAAATGGACTTTATTTAATTAAGCCTCGCTCTCACTCCGTTTCCTCAGAAGATCACAGCACTGTGAGCTACGAGCAGACACTGGAGCATCTCCAGTGCCTGAGGCACCAGCAATGTCCAGTAAGGGATTGTGCCGGATCCACCCCAAGGATCCTAGCAGGGGATACTGGCACCAGGGAAGAGTCCAGCTCTGTGAGGTCTTTTCAGCTCTTCTGGTACATGTTGATCCTTGTCTCGCTCACCCTCACCTTCCATCTCTTCCCTCTTTACCTCCTCTCCCTTCTTTCGTTTGCACAAATCCTCCCAGGAACTAAAGGACATGGAAATGACCACGTACTCCTCTGTTACATCCTTGCTGCAGCACTTTGCTGTGTTTCCCATTCAAGGTGTCAGCTCCATCAAGCGAGGCCACCTCTTGTGCCGTTGTCTGCAAGAAGGCTTGCATAGCAGAGCCATGATTTTGGCAGGAATCCTTAAGTGCTACTATAAAGCAAATAAATAATTAATCATTATTATTTTTATGTATCTGCAAGTCTTCTCTAATAGGTCTTTATATTATTACGGTGCTGAGGACAGGCTGAAATTAGATAATACTACACTCAGCTGGCATCTATTCCCTTGGAAACACAGGTAAAAATGCATTTAATAGCTCTCCAGTGACAATGAATATTCATTAATATGACACAGATGTATACTTGATTTGAAAATAAGGGCAGTAATTAAAGAGCTATTAAGGTTAAAAAGCAACAAAGGAAATTCAGCTACCAAAAGAGCTGTTCTGGGATCAGCCCCTAAGCCATACATGCATGGATAAGCACAGGCGGCCTGAGATCCTCTACATTATTTTACATATGGTTGGACTGCGGGGCCTTCCCTCCCAAACTCTGTCATCTGGAAATGGCCTGATGAATTCAGAGTTCATTTTTCCTGCTGTCTTACAGAGCAGCTGTACTCCACTGCAGTGCCGCTGCTCATACCTGCTCACACGCTGCTCCTGTGATGTTGAACCGATGAGAAGTGGAGGGGAAACTTTCTGCAGGCTTTTGGGAAGGAAGCTATTTATAATCAATCGCTTATATTCATTATTTCTATTAAAATAGTCTTGGGGATCACTAGTCATGATAGCTGCCTTGCTGTAATCTCTGAAAATCTCCATCCCGCAGGCAGCGATATTAAAGTTGAGATTCTCAGAGAGGTTTCACAAAGGTTCCTCTGCAGGGGTGGCTTGAGAAAGCGACCTGAGCAGTTCGTTGTCTGTGTTAGGAGCGAGTCAGAAGAAAGGCAACGGCACTGCTATACATGGAGGGAGGCAAGGAGGCGCAGACGTGTCCGAGGACCAAGGACCACAACCCTGCAGGACCAAGCGGTCACGCTGCTTGCTGACGGCCAGGACAAACCCTGTGTAGTCTCACCCACCGTGTCCCGCCAGTCTCCTCCTGGCGCAGGCAGAAACTGCAGGCTCTCAGCAGAGCTGGGACCCTCAGAGGCAGGGCAGGGGTTCAGAAATTGCAGCCATGCCAGCCAGCAGAGGAAAAGTGAGACGTGCGTCCTCCAGACCCAGGTGTGCCGTCGGGAGGAGGCTACCGCACCGTGCATCACCCTGCTCCCTTTTTAGGGAGGGTCTGTCAGGCTGGTTATGCCACCGAAGAAACTACAGCAGAAACTGAAGCAAATCAGGCGGAGAGGCGGAGCGTTATTTGAATTTCTAACCCAGCAGCGTAATGGTCAATAGACAAGTGAATCAACCCATTGGGCTGGCGTTTCGGGCCGCTCAGTGAGGAGAGTTAACTGCCTGTCACCTGAATTAGAAGCAGATAAACCACATCTGCCCTTGCCCTAAGCTAACCCGACTGACTTTCGGCGCAGCAGCGCCCGGTGCAGACACGCGCGCAGAGCGGGCGGCAGAGCCGAGGCAGGGCCCCGTCCCGCTTCCTCGCAGCCGGCTTGGCAGCGCTTTCCCGGCCTTCGCAGGTACGGGTGTCACAGAGGGCAGCCCGGAGCCGGCTGTGTGTCACCAGGCTGATCCATTTCCTCACAAATAAATGATAAAGTTGTGTTTTCTGCCTGGATTGGCAGGTTTTGATGCAGGAGGGGTTTGATGGGGTTTTTTTCTGGAAACGATTACAGTTCCATGCTTTAGGCTGCGTATTGCTGTTTCAACCTCACAGGGTTTATCCTTCTAGTAAGGGAGACTGCCAGCGTTTGCTTTTCTTAGAAACCTAACCCGAGACTTTTCAAAGGCACGGGAAGGTGACATCTCCGTTCTTCCTCATTTTAATCCGTTTTACATCCCTCGGCCGCTTTCTGCGGTGACTTTAGCAGGACCGGCGAAATCCACGCCCGTGAAACCAGCGTGTTTTGCTAGGACGGGTGGGGCGGGCGTCTGCGGGGAGGTACGGCTCACTCCCGGCAGCTCCGATTCCCACCTCTCCCAGAACCGCTTC